CTATCAAATTAGTAACCCAAAAAATCCCAAATGCAAAACTTTGCCTGTGATAGGATTCCATTCTAAGCCCCCCTGCTTTGCTTTTTATTTGTGCCAATCAGTCTTTGCTGTATGAAAGTGATAAACAATCTTCAGTAAATTTGTTTGGAATAAAGGGCTAAAGTAGAGTCCCAGAATTCAGAATCAGAAGTAGCACAGGAAACATCTCTGGATGAGATCATTGGTAACATATTCCAAAATCAAGATGTTTACCTCTTTAGCAAGTAGATATTGAAGATGACCACATCTCTGGGTGTCCAGAGTTATCTCTATGAAATGGGTAGACCTAGTTGTCACAGGTGCAGAACAATGCACAGAAGGCAAACTAATGTTAAGGGTTTAATCAAGCTTACCAGAAACTAGGAGTGTGCATTCAGCATAAACCAAGGTGAAAAAATACCCCAAAAATACCTTACTGATATATTTGGGATTTTCGGGACTGCTGGATAGCTGATCTTAAAGGGCATTTAAAGAGATTGTGGTCCCTTTAAATGCCTTCTCTAAGCCATGCGAATCCACAGCAAGTGAACTTTGAAGGTGCTTAAAGGACTCTCAGTCACTTTAAACTCCTCCTGGGTGAACTCGCTGCTTGGAGGTGTTTAAAGGGACTGCGGGCCTCAAAAAATAGCCTCCAAAGCCCTAGATAACCCTGGACCGATTCTCCATTATACCCTATGGGGACCAGTGACTATAATGGATCCCCATAGGGTATAATGGAGCAAAAAAAATATCAGGTTTCCCAAATATTTACCAAATCTGAATACCATACCAGTATTGGGATTTGGGAGTATCGGGAAATACTGATATTTTTCAGGTTCAGTATACCCAACCCCCCAAAAATACTGGTGTTTATTTTTGCACACCCCTACTAGAAACTATGAGCCAGTAGACTGCAAACTATACAAAGAATGGCCCTTAATGCTTATGTGCCCATGCCCAACACCTAACTTGTATACATTTGATGATTTTGATGCAAAGAAAAGACAAAGTCCCCAGGAGTACCAGTAGACAGGGAAGACAGAAAGCAAAGTTGAGTCTTGCTGTGCTTTGGTGTTCTAAGATGACAAAGCATTTGTTATGGTTATTATCAGTATTTTTGTGAGATATACTGTATGATAAGAAACAGACACAGGTTGAGATTGTTGAACAGGTATGTCAACAGATCAATATGACAAAACAGTCTATTGCAGTGTACAGAATGAATCTTTTGCAGCTGTCCTGAAGAGATGCTGGCCAAGAATGTTACCTTCCTAACAAAATCAGTACAAAACCCAAGGACATTTGAAGAGAAAGGCTCTTTGTAAAGAAAGTAGATTCTTCCCTGAGGTATATCAGAGAGTTAAAAAAACACCTTAACATTCTTTGGGAATTCTTTCGCTGTCCCAAGCAGAGTTCCCTCTAAGCCGTGGAGTCTTGTGAGCAAAAATTCTACTTTGTGAGCTACTGGCATTGAAGTTGTGAGCGAGTGATTTGGCTACTGCATGAATTAGTTTGCTCTGGAGCCCTCCTTACTGAGCGGAGACAAAAATGTGTGAGCCGGAGGCTAAAGAACTGTGAGCTAGCTCACACTAACTCAGCTTAGAGGGAACACTGGTCCCAAGGACCTGCCAGATCAAAATACCAAGGAAAACCCTTACTATCCTCCCACAAATTCTGCAGATACTTTGAAGGCAATACTTGCTGTTGGAAATTTCAGCATCCAGCTGAATCACAGTGCCTTCCTAAGATTCCCATCTAGAGTCAGACATTACAAATTCAAGGTCCTCCTCTTTAGACTATTTATGTTCTCTGGGTCATCTTGAAATGTATTTATAATTGTGGGTCTCACAGCCAAGTTATATTATCTTCCCACATCTAGATATATGTTAATGGGTCAATACCATACCTTACCACAGATACAAGAGTTTCCTTGTTTTAGATAAGAACCATCCTGTATTCTGCAGTCACCACAGATTGTCTGCCTGAAGACATAGCCCCTGTGGTAGCATATCTAGCAACAAAGTTCCATCATGAACCTCTTCAGGCAGCTTATGCCTATGAGATCTGGTGATCTCCACAATTTCCATTGTTCCTCTCTTATGAATACAACTTTTGTTCCTCCAGCCCTTCAGCACCCTGAAGGTTCAGACACACTCTAATCCATTAATCCTTCTCTGACTATAGATATCATTATCAGAGAGATTCCCTTCACCTTTCTCTCCTGCAATGAAGATAACTACAATCATTTTCCTCGTAGAATATACACAGCCTTTGATCACATGTAGCACAACTTAGTTTGTGAGCTTTCTGCCTGGACGCTGGGGAGGGGGGGCTTAGTGGTCCAAGGTATCACAGATAAAACAACTCCAAACAGGTACTCTGAGGAACTACTTTGGTGCCACAATCACGTTTTTCCAGGAGCCATGCATACTGTTCTTACATGCAACCTTCTGATGGATTCTCTGAGCAGATTTGGTAGTACAATGGCTCTTCTATATTTGGTGTTTTCCAAATGCAGATGTTCTTGTTACTGAAGTGAACAAGGCTTTCCATTCTGTAGCAGAGTAGGAATGGGTCCTAGGAAGATGTGTTCATCTAAAACATTGGTAACATTAGGCAGTGACAAATTGATCATGTTACATACATACAGATGAAGCATGCTTGAGAAGTATAGTATTTATTTCCCATGTTTTTGGAATAGGACCAAATTTTGAGCCTACTGTTGATATCAGGCATATACTGTTGCAAAAACACAGTTTTCTTTCAGAATATTTTCCATCTAAATCTTAGATCCTGGTTCATACGGCCACGCTAATGTCTCTTTTGGTAAAAGTGTGGCAGGAGGAGGCAGTCAAATCCAAAATATATTCTAACTTGATCACATTTTCATCAGGTTTATCTTTATGTGGGTTGCAATTTTTTATTTTGATTTATGTCCTACAGTTAAGGAGCAGTCTGGTCCACTGAGCTGCTGCTTAAACTCAGCATATTCCTTTGATGATCACTGTGTTTTCTGTTCTAGTGAAACAGTTTCTTAAGGACTTGACTCATAAGTTCATACTCTTTTGCCTTAATAGAGCTTTCCTTTGTTGTTTTTTGAAATTTGCTTTCTTTTAAAATGTCCATGTTTTTTTAGCAGTGACATTTTTGCAGAGGCCTAGTGAGTTGTCTGCACTTAAATGTTAATCTGACATTCCTGAACACCCAATAAAATAGTTTCAGGATAAAATAATTTTAGGACTTGATTTGGATTTTTGGTCCTACCCGTTGGTAACCAAGATATTTTCTTACCAGTGTCTTTTTCCTGCAACCATCAGATGTTATTTTTAAAAAATTGATTGTACTTAATCTGCTGTGTAGGCAGGAAGTGTTGGGGTTTCTTCCCACACCTTAGCTATCTGTAATTCATCTCTTCTATAATGATGTGAAGCAATGGTGCCACTAGAAGGTCTGTGCTTAATCCGCAACAGGAAAATCTACAGCACTGAGGAGTTCAGGGGCAGACTTAGTGATTCTGGGGCCCTGGGCAAAAGTCCAGGATGGGACATCAGAATCACTCCACCTCCCAACAGCCCCCCCCCAGCCCCAAACGAAGGACGGCCCTTATTCCACATGAGGTGGGTGGGAGCTGTTGCCAGAAGCTGGCTGCCCAAGCCTTGGACACAGCAGGCACAAGCGACCACTGCCAAGCCAGCTGGCCAAGCCCTTGATGTGGCGAGCATGAGTAGCTGTTGCTGCTAGCATGGAACCCAAACCCTTGATGGGATGGGTGCAAGTGATGGAAGCTTGCTGCTTTTCTTTGCCCTCCTCCGTTGGGGAATGGTTGCCCCCCTCAGCCAGGGCCCAAGGCAGCTGCTCCTGTTGCCCATTGGCTAAGACCATTGCTGGAGGAGTCACATCTCCCATGAAGGTATTTGCAAAGCAGGAGCCTGGTCTTCCCTCTGTTGTCCATGAAGCAGTAGGCTACAAACACTGATGATACTGGAAGAGACTAATGTAGACAGAGCAGTGTTGTGGAATAAATAGTTTTGCATGATACAACATCCGTTTGCTTCTCTAGGAGAGTTCAATTATGTCCCTTTATGAGAGACTGCACCAAATCCCAAAGGAAAATAAAATTCAGTGCTGTAAATATAGTGTTCTACTTTCCTCTGAGATATTTGGTGCCAGAAATATGAAAGGGGAGGGAACACCTCATGCTCCAAGTTCTAAAAGTTTCCATGGTTAAGCATTACATATGCATATATCCTGGGGTGGGTTGGCCATTAAGGCTACTGGGAAAGTCCCATTGAGTGGATGGACTAGGAGGCTGCTCCCCTGCTGGGAGCTCCAACCAATGTGAGAGCCACCACTCTATGCAAGGCAGGCAGAAGCTGGGAGCCTTTGATTTACATGAGGTTAGGTGGACAGGCTCTAGGTGCCGCAAGGCTCTGGGTGCCGCAAGTTGATCCGAGTTGCCGCAAGATGGAGTGAGCTCCCGTCTCTAGTTCCAGCTCCTGCCAACCTAGCAGTTCGAAAGCAAGAAATTGCAAGTAGATAAATAGGTACCACTTTGGTGGGAAGGTAACAGCGATCCGTGCGCCTTGGTGTTTAGTAATGCCGGCCACATGACCATGGAAATGTCTTCGGACAGCGCTAGCTCTTCGGCTTTGAAACGGAGATGAGCACCGCAACCCTAGAGTCGGATTCGACTGGCTTTCGAGCAAGGGAACCTTTACCTTTACCTTTACTCGGGTCTCGAGCTGTTGAACTACTGACCTTCCACAGCCTGCAATTCAGCGTCTTAACCACTTGAGCCATTATTATTAGAAAGTCATATATTCTTAAAAAAAAATTGTTCCATTATTCTCATTCATTTTAATGAAGTGGGACTGTGCATGGTTCTATCTGTGTCTATTATTCTTTTCATAACATGCTTGGAAGAAATGTGTACTGTAGTAGTAAACATGTGCAGTTTACAAGAATATTTTTTGCTTGCACAGATTCCTTCCAGGGTATGACAGATGGAATGTTTATCTTTGAAGATCTTTCTCTGGAAGACAGCAAAAGTGTACAAGGCTATGATGCTATTGTTGTAGAACAGTGGACTGTCCTGGATGTAAGTGTACCATTTGCTTTTTTGTTTGTTTCTTGAAGCACATGTCAATGAGAAATGAGTATTTGTGTTATCCTGCTTGCTGTCTCTATTAACAATAATTTCTGTATCCTTTCCAGTGTATTAAATGCTTTACAATATTTTTCCAGCAGGGTAGCCTTTACTGCAGCCAGAAAAACAGATAATTTTGGCATTAGCAAATTTATTGTCACATAAGCTTTTGTGAGCCATTGTCCATTTTGTCAGATGCGTGTAAGAAAAAGTGAGCTCTGGCTCATGAAAGTTTATGCCAAAATAAATGCCTTAGTTTTTAACATTCCTCAAGAGCCTTTGTTTTTAATATTTTCTTAGTTATTTCCCAACAGCTTCAAATGGTTCATGTCTAGAAGAGCAGTAGGGCTTAATTAAATACGCTGGTGGGAGATCCATTAATGGTTTTGCTGCTTTTTAAAAACGACAAACCGCAGTTACAGGCCCTCCCAGTTTGGACCAGGGCCACAGCACAGGAGAAGAGGAATTTGTTTTCCCTGGATCTTTTCTCCAATCTCAGTCTCCTCCCCCCCCCCCCCCCGGCCTGCTTTTTGCTCTGTGGAAAATTATACCGTTACCATAAAAACACCTGTATACTCTCTTCCTCAGGGCAAATTGTAACAGGGGGCGGGCCTGAGATTGCAAAACTGGCACAAGAAGAAATAATTAAAGAAACCCCTCTTCTCCCCCCACCCCGCCCTGTGCCACAGCCCCAATCTGAATCTGGTGCCTCCTATTGCTGCTGTGCACAATTTAAAAACAGTGGGGCATCCATGTATTGATCTCCCTGTCGTCACATCTCATTAATCCCTTTCTGAAACCATTGAAGTGGCTTGAAGATGTTAGTTTTCCATCTAGTTACCGGTAGTTTTCTCATGCCATTTTAAAGGATTAAAGTACAGGTGATACTCAGTTGTATGAATGCTTTCCCCAAGGATTCATTTTCCCAAGCAGCTGGGAGAAGCTTCATTTTGGATTGGAAGCTCATGGGTGGTGGTGGGGGGGAAAGATGCTTATTTCTTTCCCTGCAGGCAGTTTTCTTTATCAAGATCTCCAAGCTGCTTTTCACCCCACAGGGGAAAAGATACAGGTACGTGTGTGTGTGTGTGTATCAACACATCCCCTGTACAAACTTCCAGACCTAAGCATAGCTTCCTGCAGTGGCTTTAATTACAATAGAAAACAAAAGCAAACCACCGCCTTGGAGAGAACATTCATACAACTGGGTGAAACTCCTACGAAACTTTACGTTGTGCCAGTGAGCTTTCTAATGCTGGGGTCTTTAAGAAGCCTGTTTTTTTTGTTTTTTTGACAAATGTAAAGTGATCTGTTTTTTATTCTTCAGCAGGTATGTACAGAGAAATTTGACTGGCTCACTATACATGCATTTTCCTACATGATCATTATGTCTTAATAAGGGGGAAAATAACACATACAGCAACACTCAGACTTTTTTTTTTAATGGTGGACTTTGTTGTGCCAATCAAGTTATCTTTGTGTATTTCCTAGCTTTTAGAGCACTGAGAATCAATGAATTAGTTACAAACAATGTCATGAATGCTGCTTTGCACTTTACAGGCCATTTCACTGCTTGTTTTAAATCAGCATAATACTTAAGTGCATAGTTTAAAATTAAACATATCATTCCTTTTTTTAATGGTGTATCAGACCTGCTTCTCCCTGTATAGTTCCAGAAATACTAATGCTGCATAATCCTATATCAAGTTTTCTTCCCTATTCTTTATCATAGTTTAAAGAACAGCCAGTAACACAGAGCTGGCCTTACTGGGAGGGCGGGTTAAAATCTAATAAATAAATAAATAAAAGGCCAAGGTTACTCATTGCAAGAAAACAGCAATAACTGTAATAAATAACAAGCAATAAAAGAGAAAACATATTAATCCAGTTGCAATCATAGAAGCTTTTATACAGAGGGAAATTGAAAGGAGATATAATTAGCCTAAGAACAAAAAAAATGTAAAATTGCCAGTAAACAATAAATACAAAATAAACAATGTTTGAATGGCTCTGCAAGATGCCTTTCTGGTTTTATCTGCAGAATTTAGAAATCAGAACCCAACACCCATAAATGCATCTGGTTTGCATTTGCCTAAACTCACAAACCTTTGATGGATCAGTTTCCCCCCATTATAAATATATCCCAAACTAGCTAACCACTGAAGTTCGCCTATTTCAGTGATATTCTTAACTCTGCGTAGGATCTGACTTCATGATGGATCCTTGACTAAAGGAGATTCTGCATCTAGCATTTGCTACACATTTTCTCAACTGGGAGGAAAAAGTGCAGCTCAAACCACATTTAAATACCTCAGGGCAATGCTGTACTGACTGCAAAGTCACCCCTCAATGGCCATAAAACAGCCATAAATCTATGCAGAAGGTACAATAAAATCCGATGACCACTGAAAGTAGCATGGAGTGTGGAGGCTACAATTAAATCTGATGATGAAAGGAAGTAAAAGCAGCATGCAATGCAGAGGGGAATTTCTGTTCTAACATGGGTTCGGTAAAACAATGGAAGGAAAAGCCAATGCAGAATCAGCCTCTATATGAGATATTTCTTCTATGTTCCTTATTAAGCATAAGAGCATAAGAGACGCCAATGTTGGATCAGGCCAAAGGCCCATCCAGTCCAACACTCTGTGTCACACAGTGGCCAGAAATACCAGTGCCATCAGGAGGTCCAGCAGTGGGGCCAGGACATTAGAAGCCCTCCCACTGTTGACCCCCCCCCAAGCACCAAGAAGACAGAGCATTATTTGCCCCAGAGCCCCTAGCTATACCTTGTGGCTAATAGCCACTGATGGACCTCTGCTCCATATGCTTATCTAATTCCCTTTTGAAGCCGTCCATGCTTGTAGCACCCACCACTTCCTGTGGCAGTGAATTCCAAGTGTTAATCACTCTTTGGGTGAAGAAGTACTTCCTTTTATCCGTTCTAACCCGACCGCTCTGCAGATAAAACTCATGGGCTTCTCTTACAACTCTCCACATGTTTATGTTTTTAATGTCCAAACATAGCCAAAGTAAAGCTGTTCTCCTTGTGTGTCACCAGGACTGTAGATTCTGTTGTACCCACTTAGAATGAGTACTGTGTACAGTCTTTTGAGTAGAAATTGGTATCTCTGTTTGAACAAAGAACTTGGCATGCTTAATTTCAAATAACAGAGCAGCTTCCCATGTGTAAGTAAGGCAACACTCTGGTATACTCAGTATGTGTGTAAAATGTCAATGTTTAGAGGATGTAAACCTTCCAGCTGTCACAGTATGTGGTCCTTGCCAGCCAATAGACAGGATGCAATAGCCCTGAGTTATTTAACTCTTTAAACTCAGAACCAGCCATGGCATGCTTGTCTCCTGAGCAGGGGGGTTTACTGTCTACTGGCTTTCTGTTGTCCAATTATTTTAACCCTATAGATTGTGCCACATTATTTCTGCTAGACTTCGTGTGATCCAGCTTTGAATTTTCTCTGGAGGTTTTAACGTGCCTTATGCAGGTATATCTGGCAGTTATCTGATTGATCATAGCTCGCATGACTTCTCTTTCCTCCCCCATGTCTAATGTCATCATGGTTTATTGCCCCAGTGAGGAAGATAATTATTTTTGCAAGGTGATAGGTATTCTGCTAAACCTAAGCACTGAAGTACATTGTCAAAGCACTATTTTCCGAGCTGACACCTTATTCTGAAAAATATTTCTCATAACTTAAAGGAATTTTGGCAGTAGTGACAGTAGTGGTTTACTCTGTTTAGTCCTTACTGTATGTACGTTATTTTATTTCTGTGTTGCTGCTGTGCCTTTCCAACATTTTTGAAATGGGTTAGGAATATACATCCCCAAAACTGTTGAGATGGCAGATTGCCTAGTGGAAATGAAACCACTGTGTAATTGTGTTTGCTGCATGGCATTCATAAAGTAGTGCCTGTGATTGACAGGGAAAGGAAAATTTGAATGGGTATGGTAATTTGCTGTTCTTTCTGGAAGTGTCTCCAAAGAGGCAGCTTCAATTTGGCCTTCAGTCTTGATATGTTAAATGTGCAGTGAGTTTGGGTTTGATCAACTCAGTTTGATGCCTGTAAGCACATCACACAACGCATGCTTAGACCGGCAGGGAGCTAAAGGTGATGAGCGTGAAATTCAGCCCCTTGAAAGGCTCTGCGTGTTACTCGAAGGTGACCTAGAAAGCCACTGGGAGCAAACTGGGTTTGTGCCCTTTGGGGGCATCCCCTTTTAGCTGGAAGGAAAAGCGGAAGATAGCTGAGCTGTATCTGCTCTGGGTTTGTGTCTTAAAAGGCTTGTGTGTTCTTTGTGTTCGTCTTTCCACCTGGGGACTATCCAGAATGCCAAATGTCAGTTTTTGCAGAGATCTTTGTTAGGAAATGTAACAATGTAGTTTGGCAGTCATTTCCTGAGTTAACATTAGAAGTGCTGCGATCTGAACACAGGGAAATATTTTTGCACCTCTTATGTATGGTGTTTGTGCTAAACAGTTGGTACAAAACTAAACAGCAGTCTGAGTAAAAATAACTTCCCCTTTCTTGCAGTTTTCACCACAGTCTCTTTGAGCTCAGCATACATTTTAAAGGTTCTTTCCCTCACCTTGCAGGAAATACAAGAGATGGTAGAATTTACTAAGAGTAATCAAGAGTAAATTAAAAAAATGGGTAAGTTTTTATGTGGCATGGCATGTAATTTATATACCCAGGTCTACAGAAATGTGCAGACATTTCTGATTACCAAAGATTTTTACACATCCCCATTTTAATCCTGGGATACACACCTGTTTAATTTTCCCGCAACTACTTGATAAGGAATGCTTAACATAGTTATTTATGGATTACACATGCAAGTCAGAAAATGGTGATACCACCAAGTTCCCACTATTGAGGGTGGTGATGAAACTGCAGATGGTTACTTTGAAACTATCCTTCTACTTAATTCAGAAAAAAAG